AGATACCACATGTGGACCTTTGATATCTTTGCTTTGATACTATCCATATTGTTCATTTTCTAATGATGTCTTCAGTTCTTTAATTGAAATGTGCATTGCTAACAGCGGAGCTATCTCAGCAGATAGGCTGCTTGTTGAATATTTGAGAACCAAAAATTCATCATTTCTCATACGTGTAGATGCTCTAATAGAAGCCGCATCCCCTCTGTCGCATTGTACCATTTTAATAGAAGCCAGGTTTCTAACAGACTTTACAGTAGTTTGGGTTCTACTATTCACGTCCTGTGGTATAGACTTGTTTTTGTTTGAAAACCAATGAATAAAAATATTGTATTATCATCTACTTTCAGCGTGTCACAATGTAATTGCTCTGCTAAATGTTAACACCAAGCCATTTTGTTACCCGGTTTTAAGCTCTGCTGTCATCATGATGACAAAGAGGAGCTAATCAAATAGGTGATTGAGCGCCGTTGCCTGTCAATAATTGAATTTTTGACATCTTATTGAAAACTATTGGGTGGACCTCGCGAGATCTGTTCATTTTGTGACTATATCTTCAATTCTTTATTTTTGACAAATCTTTGTCATTGTTGGTAAAAAATGTTATTTTCAACTTCTTCTTGAAAACTACCATCCCAATTGCTTGGCATGTAGATACCTTGAATAGACTTCAGTCAGATTTGTTCTTTTTGCGCCAATATCATCAGTTCTCTATTCTCTATCAAACTACTTTTTTATCAGTTAACCACATTTTGTTTTATGGGTGTGCGTTGCTCAATTTGGCTACCACAAAGTTCTTGTAGAACAGTGAAGCTATTTTGACCATCAGGTCGCTTGTTGAAAACATTGCATACCAAATTCATTCAAATTCTACTAATTTATCTCATACTGTTAATGTATTGCAGGTTTGTTTATTTTCTAAAAATTGTCTGTTGATAAACATAATTATTATTTTCATTAATTTTGTGCATCCGTGTGATGCAACTTGTCATGGATTATTTGAATGTAATCTTGTATGTTGAATGTTCAAAATCACATTTGAATTCCTGGAGATGTCACATCAAAGAAAAGAGTGCTGCTGCAATATCCCTGTATTCTCTAGTGTCTTTGGTATATCATTATTTTGAGGTGTTTGTCATTGGTTTGTACTTGAACAGACCACTCTCCATATCTGTGATGTAACATTATACAGGCAGCATAAAATTTGAAAAATTAAAGTACTCTACATATTCTTGAATTTGTTTCCATGGAAACAGTGATTTCTCCATAGCAGTAACTCCAACTCTGGCGGCCATTTTGATTTTAAAATTGATGAAAATGTATGAATTAGCTGTTATGAATGAATTTTCGATTCATTTTGGTGTGCTATACTGCTATATATTCAATTTCTTCTTCCCAGTGCTGAAAATAAAATATTTACTGTCTTTTTTTTGCAGGAGAGAAACCATATGTGTGCCCTGTAGAAGGCTGCAATAAAAGATATTCCAATTCCAGTGATCGTTTCAAACATACAAGAACTCATTTTGTAGAGAAACCTTATTACTGCAAAGTTGTCGGCTGTAATAAAAGATACACTGATCCTAGTTCATTGCGGAAACACATCAAAACACATGGACACTATGTAAATCGGGAAAACAACCAACAACAACAACAACAACAGACGCAGCAACAGCAGTTGATACAAGAAGAAGAAGATTTGGAAGATACACCCGCCACTGTGCCAACAGTTACGACATCTCCACAATTGACTACAAGCACTCTTAATACAATACCTGTCACACTACCTACATCCTTAAGTTCAGCTTTACCAACAACGCTTTCCCAGAGGGAGTAACAGTATATCCTGTAGTTGGTACACCTGGAGGGTTTATGATTCTTCAAGCTTCACCATCTCAATTACCAGCCCATATTATGCCAATCCCTTTAGCATCTAATCCCCTCCTCTCCTCAACTCTCGTGACATCCCCTATTACAACAACTAGTATGTCTTCATGCACTGATAGTATAATAACCACACAGTCTGTTTTTCCAAAATGAAAACCGCTGTGACGTGAGTTTATCACTGCATGTAC